GAAACAATCTGCAAATTTCATTAAAATTTAATAAACTATCATCTTGTCTTTATTTTTAGTTAGCACCTTAAACACTTAAAGCTGTAAGCTAATGATAGTTATATAAGAGCAGATGCTGCTGGTGCAATAAGCTGTTCGCTGTATGTAAATAATGGTTTGTGGCAGCCCTACAGTGATCAGAAGTATTACACATGAATGTTAAATCATGAATGTGGACGTTCTCTCTCGATCAATTCTTATTACTAAACAAACATGTTTCATGACAAAAATGCAAGTGTTAGTAAATGAAAGCAAAACCAGTGTTACAGATTTGTTCGTGTGCATTTGTCCCGCATGTGCAGTGTCTCTGATAATTATGTCCCTTTGTGAAAAAAGAGCCTGGCAACACTCGACAGCATTGTTGTTTCTCTCATTTTATTCCTAATATCACAACTTTATTATTAAATAATGAGGAAACAAGCAGAGGAATATATATGTGTGTGATTTACACGAACACTAAACAGCTAAATGGAAACACCAGTGGTCTGCTGTAGTGAACAGGCCCACGTCACACTCTGACTTCTGTCAGAATATTAATTACATTCACATCATTGAAGGCTTTTGGTAGGTGACACCTTACATGTTTGATATGAACTCTTCGCACTCACACGTCCATCAGCATCAGATACAAATCAGTGCTGTGACTCTTGTCTGACCTCCTCCTGCCTCTCACAGCTGCGTCGAGTGGACTAATCAAAGAAGAATACATCCCTGATTGTATACAGATGGACCTTCCGCCTGGTATGCCTCTGTCCGACCACCAAGCAGCTCCAGACCACTATAGTCCCCTTCTGCCCCCTTCTGAACCCCATGGCCCCCCACCTGTTACCAGATACTCTAACCTGGCTGTGTCACCCAAAGGTCAGCATATCATTATTCAGTTTGATGAACCTGTCAATGTTCATATCTTGTCATGTGTACTTTTTTTACACTGGGACTGCTCAAACTTTATATTAAGGGACGAGAAAGCTTCTTTCCATCTTTCCTACGCAGATAGTTGATAACAGCTGCAGTCACAGGTCCGATGTGCTCCTCTGTTTGTCTTCCAGTGCCTGCCTCTGGCTCCATGCTGCCACTGCAGGGCAGTCATGGTGATGGCTGTCTCCAAACTCCATCTCCACAGGCTCAAGTCATTCAACAACGACCTCAAAGCCCACCCCAGGTTTCCTCTCAGCAGCAGGCTGCCCAGCATCCCTCGCAGCACACCCACTCACAGCAACCCCCTCTACCTCCCTCTCATTTGAATAGACAGAACGGATACAGCAGCAATACGCAGTCTCAGACTCAGCCTTCATTCCACAGTGAGCTCACGCACTTCTTACAGATCAAAGCCTCTTAGTCCTGCTGCCAGATCAGCCAGTGATAAAAGAATCAAAAGCACTCGTTATCATTCATATTTGTCTCCGTGGGTTAGTGATGGACACGTTAGCTGTCCAATCTTTTCATGCATGTGCTCCTGAGCTCGACACTAAACAGTGTAAACACGATGCTGCTACAGACTGGAGGATTGTTGAGTTTCAAACATGCACTTAAACAGTAAACGTTGGATAAATATGTGAGTTCTAATCATTTTTAATTGGAAATAATATTTGTTATATGCAGGTTATAAATAAATATGCAGTGCAAAGAACAAACAAAGGTGGTTCTGATGTCTTCTGCACGTTTAGCTAACGGATGTTTAGTAACTTATTCACTGGTTAATTTGACTTTTGCATACATTCGTGTCAAATTTGAGGGCATCATTTCAACAACACTGATCAGATTTTGCTTTCCTGTGACGCAGCTGTTTGGACAGGCAGTAGCACGGCCTCCTACACTCCCATTGGACCCCAGCAGGAAGGGCGCGGTCACCAACAGCCTCCTCTGCATCTTCCAAACCATCACTGTAAGAAATGCTTCGCAATGTGTCCCTGCTCTGATCACTGAT